TTTTTAAATGTTGTTTCCTGTTGATCCTGGATACGATCAGACAACGGGTCGTCCACAAAGTCTCAAAGACCACAGTATCAAAGCAGAACTTTCTGTCGCACGACAAAGCACATGGAACTTTCCTGCCAGTCTCCCACACAATCATCGTGCCGTCGACCAGAGCAGCGTAGTCTCTGGTACTCCCGCTTCACTCAAAGACTGTCGCAGCTGCACTCTATGAGGCTTACATGAGAGGCTTCAGTCAGGTGAAGTGTGCTCAGATGAGAGCAGAACAACTAAGCTCCTGCCACCCAATCTCACGCGGTTTCTCTGATGCATGACGAGCTTGGTCTCCTCCCATTGGTTACATTAGGTTGCGTGACCTGTAAACCATCGTTGACAAACATGACATCGGGCCTCTACCAGACGCCATTTTGTTTGAATAAAAAGTTTATTAAAAATAGGTAAAACCAAATATCAACCACATAATATTGGTTCATGTAATTTAGCCTAAATAAGACATTCCCTAGCAGTTCTTGATGCTGGTTGAGGGTAAACATGGCTCTCAGATAAGTCTCTGTCAGCACCGTGGATTTGTGTAATCCAATAATTTATCCGTAGGGATTATGTACCCGGAACGAATGTGTTGAGACAACACCGAGGAGTTGTAGTGCCAACACCCACGACTTGCTGAGACAATACCCAGGCTGAGGGGGGGGGGGGGGGACAAGCAGCCATGAGTTAGGGGTCCAGTAATCAGGACTTGTAGCTGGACTTAATCAGTACCCAGGTTGTAAGATGCCAGGACTCAAACACTATTAAAACCATTCCCCAGGACGCAGGGCGCCTGTTCCACCGAACATCTCTGCCTAGTTCTTCACAACACTAAAGAAAAACCGAGATATTAGCAGCGCCATCAGTGCCGTAATAAATATTGAGAATGCGTGTTTTTCTCATCTTCTTTCATAGGTGGGAACTAGGCAGAATGATAAGAGTGAGCGATGAATCCTATTTCTGTATATCCGAATTGCATAACATTCATTCCCGGTACAACTGTTGTGTTATGAAAGGTACCTTGTTGGTAGGTCATTGTGAGGTTTAATTATGATGGTCTGGGAATTATTTTGCCTGCGGTGATGGTTTATTCTGCTGTGTTGTAAGGCTGAAAGAAGAGCCTTTCAACATGTAAGGACGAGTGGGTTGGTATAAATGTTTCGTAATATAACAGATAAGCTTTGCAATGCAATGTTCGAGGCTCGCAACGAAATAAATGGGCTTCTTAATACCTTTTCAAGTGGAATCGTTATAGTGGTTTGCGTTTCATTTTTAACCATAAAACAGGAAGAGTTTTCGCCTCCCCACCTCAACGAAGGACGTACACGAGGATATGCAAAGGGGCTAATTTGCAAGAATTTAGCTGTTAACTTACTTGAAGGGAGTCAGAAGAGAGCCAGAATGCGGCAGAAAATGGCTATATATACCCCAGCGAAAGGTGTTTACGAAATGCAGTAGGAAGTGACTATCCACCTCAGCGGAACATGATGGAGGATGGGATAAGAGAGAGAAGCCCTTCGGAAACCCCCCATCCACCTAATTCCTTTTCTGTCCTCCGTTCCTCCCTCCCGCGATGGGAAAAGAACGATGCCCAATTTGGTGTTTCTCATGTCGCGCCCATTTTCACAAAATTGTCTTTTGGACTTGCAATAAAAGCCACATAACTGCCACTGTTCATTGTTGCTTTTGTCGTTGTTGTTGCTGCTGCTTTTTATCGCCGTCATTGTCGCTGTCCACTCGCCGACACACAAAAAAGAATGACAACAAAAAAGCGAATCTGTAATAGACTACAAGTAGGTTTTCCGATATCGAATGTTAGCGAATGAGTTTATCGAAATATCCGCTTTCGTAAATTGTTGGTTCGATGTTACAGAATGAAGTTGATGTCTTTTGTGTGTGTGTGTGTGGTTGTGTCTGCAGGATCGAGCATTGACTCTTGGATCCCGCCTTTCGTGCATCGGTTGTTTACAACAATGTGTGTGTGTGTGTGTGTGTGTCCGCGCGCAGGCGATGGTCTTTTCAATGAACCATGGAAGTAATTTGTGGCATATAAATAGGTGTGCTCTCATTTCCATCGATATATTTTATCCTTGGCATTCGAATGAATCTAAGATGATAAGGGTAGTTTATATGATAATGGTTATTATAATGATGCTAAAGGTTGCAACTGTGTTCCTTTGTTTTAGTAATAATGCATGTTAGAGCTGGTTGGGTCTTGTTGGTTACTTCCTATAGTGGTTTGCTAATAACCATCGACGCTACCATTACCACACCACCGCCATCACCATCCATCACAGACCACCAGTCCCATTACCACCACCAGTCCCATTACCTCCATCACACACGCCACCACTACCAACATCACCACCATCTAGGCCACAACTATCATCACCACCGCCGCCTGCATCACCACTACTTAAAACCAGAAGCCTCTTTCCCTAAGACCTGTTATCCTCTTGGTATTGTCTGCGCCAGGCTCCACATCCCTCCCTCTCCGCTGCTCTCACTCATTACCTCTTATACATTACTGTTTCATTTCATCATTTCAACCTCTAGTCCCTTCCAGTGAAAATGAAACCCAAATAACCAACTTCCATTCACCTGATGGGCCACAAAAACCTTCGAATTCAGAGTCCGTTAATCCGGAACGAGAGGCGGGAATTGCCGGCGTGAACGGGGCAGACAAGCCAAACTGCATCACCAGCAGACACACACACCAAGCAATGGCCCTCTCAATACCCTTCTCTGGCCTCTCTTCCCTTTCTTTATCATATATTTGTGAATAAGAAGACTGATTCTGGCGATTTGTGTTGTCTGCGCTGTTCCCTTTTTTATTTCTAGCGACCCCGACCAGCCTATGTTCATCCCGCACCCCAGACCATTCACTCTGTCAATTTGGGTGAAGCTATACCCAAGCGGCTGGCCTCGACCTTTGAACAGACAGACATTCTCTCTCTTATAGATATACATGTGATACTTCTGTCTTTACTGTCAATAGAGTCAATTTTGAGTTCCATGATACTTGCCCAGTAATTTAGGTACTTTATCGTGTCCATACAATACTGTATATGTTGTCGGTATTTCCTGTATTTTAGAAACTTATGCTTTGAAAAGTGAAGTGAGCACCGAGCAGTAGACAATACTGGAAAGCAGAAGTGATTTGAATAGTAGGAACATTGTAATGGAATGTTTGGATTCGAAGTTTGTCATACTCTTTCCTACCATTTTTCTGGTCGATGCTTTATTTGCTTTGTTATGCTCAGTAAACATTAGGTCGCATGAAATCATTATTCCCAGATACTTTACATGTTGCTTTCCTCCTATGATGGCATCTGAAAATGTCTTGTACTCTGTATTTCGTTTACGTTTTGCATTTTTACGAAATCCAATAGTATGATATTTAACAATTCTTAAAATTTTTAAATTTCATACTATTTTCCGCTGCCCAGTCAAAGACTATTTATATCAACGTCTAGTTTTCCAATGTCTTCTGCAGCAGTGATATTCATGGTGACTTGTATATCATCCACAAAGAATGACACTCAGCTGTGACTTGTAGAATTGTTAACATCAATACTTTAAAAAGTGATTGGCCTCCATCCTCAGACAAACAGAGAGACAGTTGCGGTTTAGCCTGAAGCAACTTCCTATGGTGAACTGTGATTGTATAGCGGGTGTTTGGGGGTCGACCCCCTTTTGTCCCTCATTAAGTAGGATTGCTCCTATTTCGACGACCAAAGATTCGAATGAAGTCTGAAGTGCGGGTGTTTTGGTCAATAGAGTGTTTATCAACAGATTTCGCAGCTGCCATCGACGTTACATCAGCGTCGAGAACATTGATTCAACTTTACTGAACATCGATAATGTAGATTCAACATTGAATAAATGTTATTAGAGCATGTTTTGCCCACCAGGAGGGAGTATAAGGGAGTATACGTTGAATCGCATGAATGATTCAACGTTATTGAATATCGAGAATGGCGAGGCATTGATACAATGGGGGGAGCACTGGGTTTACCCACCAGGAGGGAAGGGAGAATGTGAGAGAGGGAGAGAGAATGGAAGACAAGGAGAGGGGGAAGAGAAAGAGGGAGACAAACAGAGACCCGAACACCGACGGGTACAAAATCCAGTAAATTGATATACTTAATTATATGTTGTATATACATGTTACTTATCGTATGTTTGTACAGTTACCTATCGTATATACGGTATAGATTGGTAGATTGCGAATGTGGGATGTGTTGTATGACTGCTGTATGGGTGTTGTATGACTGCTGTATGGGTGTTGTATGACTGCTGTATGGGTGTTGTATGACTGCTGTATGGGTGTTGTATGACTGCTGTATGGGTGTTGTATGACTGCTGTATGGGTGTTGTATGACTGCTGTATGGGTGTTGTATGACTGCTGTATGGGTGTTGTATGACTGCTGTATGGGTGTTGTATGACTGCTGTATGGGTGTTGTATGACTGCTGTATGGGTGTTGTATGACTGCTGTATGGGTGTTGTATGACTGCTGTATGGGTGTTGTATGACTGCTGTATGGGTGTTGTATGACTGCTGTATGGGTGTTGTATGACTGCTGTATGGGTGTTGTATGACTGCTGTATGGGTGTTGTATGACTGCTGTATGACAGCTGTATGACTACCCCCTCGTCACTTGCTGGTGGGTGTAAATGAGTTGTCAGTCCTTCATCTGATTTCATGATGTCTCGTCGTCAGTGTTCCATTACTATAATAGTAATATCCGGCTTCCAGTATTATGTAAATCACACCATTTAATAAACTCCAAGCACTGCGCCGATAGATCATCCCCCCCCCCCCCGCCCTGCTCCCGAGGGATAACTCTATGCACTGTTTCTCCATATTTCAGGGCCATGTGCCCCCCCCCCCCACCTCTGTCAAACTATCTTGTGTTCATAATGCGTTCATATTTGTTACGTTACACGTTATGACGTCACGGGATGTTCCACTCTCACCGTTGCTCTAGTAAATGTACATATGTACACAGGCAGAGACGCAGAGAAAGTCAGAGACGCAGAGAAACAGTCACAGACGCAGAGAAAGTCAGAGACGCAGAGAAACAGTCACAGACGCAGAGAAAGTCAGAGACGCAGAGAAACAGTCACAGACGCAGAGAAACAGTCATAGACGCAGAGAAAGTCAGAGACGCAGAAAAACACAGACGCAGAGAAACACAGACGCAGAGAAACACAGACGCAGAGAAATACAGACGCAGAGAAACAGTCATAGACGCAGAGAAATACAGTCGCAGAGAAACAGTCGCAGAGAAACAGTCGCAGAGAAACAGTCATAGACGCAGAGAAATACAGACGCAGAGAAACACAGACGCAGAGAAACAGTCATAGACGCAGAGAAATACAGACGCAGAGAAATACAGATGCAGAGAAACACAGACGCAGAGAAACAGTCATAGACGCAGAGAAACAGTCATAGACGCAGAGAAACAGTCATAGACGCAGAGAAATACAGTCGCAGAGAAACAGTCGCAGAGAAACAGTCATAGACGCAGAGAAATACAGACGCAGAGAAACACAGACGCAGAGAAACAGTCAGAGACGCAGAGAAATACAGTCGCAGAAAAACAGTCATAGACGCAGAGAAATACAGACGCAGAGAAACACAGACGCAGAGAAACAGTCAGAGACGCAGAGAAACACAGACGCAGAGAAACAGTCATAGACGCAGAGAAATACAGACGCAGAGAAACACAGACGCAGAGAAACAGTCAGAGACGCAGAGAAACAGAGGCGCAGAGAAAACTGTCAGAGACAGAGATATACAGTCAGGGACACCGGTAGAGGTTCACGAAAAGAGAGAACTGGCATAGAGCACTCCACAGATCTCAACGGAAGCAGCTATACGGATGACAGAAGACCAACTTACACAGTGTCTTACGACTCGGCCAAACTGTCACACGACGCAAATAAAAGAGAGAAAAATAAGTGGAAAAAGGCTAAACTTTGCTCGCCAATGTTTAGTCTCAATCGCCCAGGGACTGCACAGATTTTTACTTTTTGTTTTTGTGTCTGCTTCGTTGCAAAGAGGTCAAAGGTCTGGTTAGCGAGTGGCTCACCAGGTACATTGAAGTCTGCTGCAAAAGCCGGCCTTTTAAACTTTGTATTTTCACTGTGAAAGTTTTCAGCATAAGGTTTAGAAAAGAATTCAGAACACGGATATATATATAGAAACACACACACACACACACATACACACATACACACGCACACACACACACACACACACACACACACACACACACACACACACACACACACACACACACACACACACACACACACACACACACACACACACACACACACACACACACACACACACACACACACACACACACACACACACACACACACACAAACACACACACAGCCGGTAAACCTAAACCAGAAACTTGTGTAAAGAATCATTCAGAACTTTGTTTACCACATATGTCAGGCCAATCCTGGTGTATGCGGCACCAGCATGGAGTCCATATCTAGTCAAGGATAAGACTAAACTGGAAAAGGTTCAAAGGTTTGCCACCAGACTAGTACCCGAGCTGAGAGGTTTGAGCTACGAGGAGAGACTACGGGAATTAAACCTAACTTTGCTGGAAGACAGAAGAGTTAGCGGGGACATGATCACCACATTCAAGATTCTCTAGGGAATTGATAGGGTTGATAAAGACAGGATATTTAACACAAGGGGCACACGCACTAGGGGACACAGGTGGAAACTGAGCGCCCAAATGAGCCACAGAGATATTAGAAATCGGATAAGAAATAGCCCTCACTGGCACCACCTGGGGAGCACACCATAAAATCTTGCTCCGTTTCTATACAACCAACATTCGCAGCCAACTAGACTATTGTTGCCAAGCATATGCGTCGGCTGCGCCTACTAACCTACAGAGCCTAGAGTTCATCCAAAACAATGCCATGCGACTTATATGTGGCGCAATGCGTTCCACTCCTATCCTCGGACTTTACGGGGAAACAGGCCTCACAAGCCTAGCCACCAGACGAGACATAATGTGTGCCAACTATCTGTCACTCTGTACCACTGCTCACCAGACACACCCATACAGATAAAAAATTAACCCAACAGTTAACCCACATAACCCCCGCTTCCCAACCAATCACTCACAACCTTTCCTCACACGGGCTACAAATAACCTCAATATAGACCTCTCTCTACTCCAAAACTCGGAAACCCAACTTACTGTTCCCCCTATTCCACCCTGGCTTTATACAATTCCTAATACAGCAATACAACTCGAAGACAATATTCCAAAGTCTGCACCAAGCCATAGCCTCAGTCTTTCTCTCAACAATGAAAAATTGCTACCCAAATACCACAGCGATTTATACAGATGGATCTCGCATCCTCATGAACAACGTACCCTCGGTCACTAGCGCTGTATGGACACCGGAATACCATCTCAAGCAGGGATGGCGGTTACCAAACCAACTATCTGTTTTGACCGCTGAATTATATGCCTTATATCAAGCTCTCCAAATAATCACAACATTACCAATCGGGACATATACAATCTGCAGTGACTCCAAGAGTGCGATTCAAGCAATTACGTACTCTTCAAAAACGTGCAAGGAGTTTGTTTACCCATGTCTTCAACTTCTTCATGAACATCGATTGAACGGTTATGATACCTCTATCCAATGGGTCCCAGCGCATTGTGGTATTCTCCATAATGAACTAGTAGATCAACTAGCCAAAGCAATGCACAACACACCTCACATTACCCGTCATCCAATTCCTCATGTTGCACGTAAAGGAGCCTTCAAAAATACCATCACCCAAGATTTTGCGACGAAATGGAAAACGTTATGCTCACCTTTGTACTACGGGTCCATTAAAAATAAATGGGAAACTTGGAAACATACCAGATATAAAAGCAGAGAAATTGATATAGCGATGACCAGATTAAGGCTGGGACACACCAAACTAGCAGCACACAGCTCTAAGTACAGAACAGACATCAACGAACTCTGCATCCACTGTCAGGTGCCTGAAACAATCGAACACTATCTCCTACATTGCTTCCAACATTATAGTGCCAGAGTAAATTTCAAGCAAGTACTTATCTCACTTAAAATACCCTTTACCATCGAGCATATATTAGGAGGCGGTGACCACTCGTTACAAGAAAAATACCAAATAGTCAAAGCACTGGCTAAATATCTCCAGTCGACCAACAAATTGGGTCACATCTGACCCGCGCCACATTTATACCTGGCGCCACCAACAGCTAAACACAGACAACAACTGCCTCGTCGCAACACCAAGGATCAGCTGACGCCATAAACACAACACACCGCCCTACGGTGCGGCAAGTCTCCCTCTAACACACACCTCTGTTCTAGTCGCCGCTCCTCTGTCTACAGCACAACGCAACAAGCACTTTTGAAACTCTTATCATCTTCAACATAAACGCATCTTCCAACATCTGTACTGGTGCAGTCATCGAGAGGACAAACCTTTCATGCAAACTGCACCTACTATCAAGAAGAAGAAGATATTAGAAAGAACTTTTTTAGATTCAGAGTGGTTGACAAATGGAATGCATTAGGAAGTGATGTGGTGGAGGCTGACTCCATACACAGTTTCAAGTGTAGATATGATAGAGCCCAATAGGCTCAGGAATCTGTACACCTGTAGAATGACGTTGAGAGGCGGGACCAAAGAGCCAGAGCTCAACCCCCTGCAAACACAACTAGGTAAGGACAACTAGGTGAGTACACACACACACACACACACACACACACACACACACACACACACACACACATACACACACATGTTTAGTTTTAAACTAGCTAAACACAGATGCCGAAGAAATATAAGAAAATTCACTTTCGCAAACAGAGTTGTAGACGGTTGGAACAAGTTAGGTTGAGAAGGTGGTGGAGGCCAAGACCGTCAGTAGTTTCAAAGCGTTATATGACAAAGAAAACGGATATATGGTGGGAAAACGGGACACCACGAGCGTAGCTCTCATCCTGTAACTTCACTTAGGTAATTACACTTAGGTAATTACAAACACAAACACATTACGGGCCGGCCGGGGAAGTGGACAGCACACTGGACTTGTGATCCTGTGGTCCCGGGTTCGATCCTGGGCGCCGGCGAGAAACATTTAGCAGAGTTTCTTTCACACTATGCCCTTGTTACCTAGCAGTAAATAGGTACCTGGGAGTTAGTCAGCAGTCACGGGCTGCTTCCTGGTGTGTGTGTGTGTGTGTGTGTGTGTGTGTGTGTGTGTGTGATGTGATGTGAAAAAAATAGTAGTAGAAGTAGTTAGAAACAGATGATTGACAGTTGAGAGGCGGGCCGAAAGAGCAGAGCTCAATCCCCCCAAGTACAACTAGGTGAATAGTAGGTGAATACACACACACGCACGCACACACACACACACACATGACATGGGAGGAGAGAGCCGTGGCGGCAGAAGCAAGGAAGAGGCGCAGGGCGAGAGAGGAAAACCAGGAAGTCACAGCTCCCAACACAACACCCCCAGAGGCGAGCGGGGAACCCACAACCAGCTACCCAGTAACACCAGAAGGGAGGACAACCCCGCCACCCTCCTCTGCATAGAAAACCCCCCTACCCCAAACCCTCCCTGCCCCCACTCAAATGTTCAGCCAAATCTCCCTCCCCCACACCCAATCCCCACCCTTCTACCCCTCCCCTCCTCCCGAGTCCTCCCTCCCCCCATTTCCTTCCTGTCCTCCCTCCCCTTTCACCCCATACCCTCCCTGTCCCTCCCCATTCACTGGATACCCCGCCCCTCATCCCAGTATTCTCTGAAACCCTGTTATCCACCTCACAGGTCCTCACACCCATGGAACAGCCTCCCCCACCAGCAGAACACTCACCAAGGAGGCGATTTGAGAAGGGACAGAAGAAAGTGAGCCTCAAAGCGATGTACACTAACATAGATGGAATTACAAATAAAGCAAATGAGCTTGGAGAATGGGCACTAGAGGAAACCCCAGACATAATAGCCCTCACAGAAACAAAGCTCACGAAAACGATAACAAATGCAGTGTTCCCACAGGACTATTATGTTATGAGGAAAGAGAGGGAAGGAAGAGGTGGGGGTGGTGTAGCTCTGCTGGTAAGAAAAGGCTGGGATTTTGAGGAGATGGATATTCAGGGCTGTGAAGGTTTCAGGGCTACATAGCAGGTACCGTAACAAATGGAGGGCAAAAATTATAGTCGTAGTAATATATAATCCACCACCAAATGACAGAAGACCTAGACAGGAATATGATAGAAATAACATGGCCACCATTAACATAATAGAAAGAGCAGCTTCTGTTGCTAG